TGATATGAGTCTAGAAATGCTTCTGGACACTTTTGATCTCGGCACCATCCCAGAAAGTCAATCAGTTGCTTCGTCAGAGGCTCAGCCTGAGCACGGATTACAACCGCGACGCTGGACAGACAGGATCCGCAAGCCAGTGAGGCCAATGCAAGTGAACCCCCAGGTCCGAAGCTACGTCAACAAACTTCAAGGGGGACGTGTTAGTCAGGAATCCGCGCGGATCCCACTATACCGCACGTCTTTAGGTGCTGCTACGGCCGAGAAGCCTGGCCCGCTCGAGGTTGGCCCAGAATTCGGGGCGCTTGCCGGTCCGGCATCAAGGCGAGATCTGATTGGTCAACAATCTGGACCGAACAGCCAATCATGATCCAGTATTGGCCAAATGCCGGTTGCCAATGCCGCATCCAGAACGCGTCAGGAATTCCATAAAGTTATAACCGCTTACGCTATATATACGAAGCGCCGTACAACTGTTCTTGACTTCGTTTTGGGCATTAATATACCTTGTGCACCTTTGGTGGTTGTTTTGACGTGAACGCTAGCTTGGGAGGCTCAGACCGTGAACTAAGCTGAGGAAAATACCGTTACTACAGTTGGACAGAATAACATCTGTAGTGTAAAACAACTTTGGTGATTGGATAGCGAAAAAATCGATCAGCTGTAAGTTGCTGTGCTTGAGCTGGCCTGTTAGGGCTTGGTGACAAGACGGTTGAGACTGTGGATCTGATGCCCTGTCCAGTGCGACTGAACTGTTCCGTTCAAACGCTGACGATGGAAGCCTTTGAGGTAAGCTCTGCCCCACGTGACAGTTTAGCACTTCCGTAAAGCGTCTGAAAAATCTGTTTCGCTGTGGAGCAGGGATTGTCGGTCGATTGTAGGGTTTCGTATCGTCGGGAGGGGGAAGGTGATGATGTTGGAAACCTATCTGGCTACTCACTAGCAACCAAAACTCTAAAACATTCCGTTAGTTTGGCATGCGTAGATCAATAACACAAAACTTTAAGTCGCCGTTGATTTACTGGAAGTATATCTGTTTTCTCAGCTTAGTCATTGGCTTGCAAAATCTAGCCACCATGAGAAGAGACACAGTCAGTGATCGCAATGATAGTCCCTTCTCGTGATGAGGTACTTACAAACCAGCTTCGGAGCCCGGGGAACAAAACAACTACCATCTGATCCAAAGCCAACAGACAAACCTGGATTATCAATATTTAGACGTATCGCCGAAAACTTTTAAAATTACGATCAGATAAAATGATTTTGAAAAAAAACTGGTACATTTTTTTGAAGCGATCAGTTTGGCAATTCCACTAAATGTCTCGGAAATATATTGTACCCTTGGCGATGTACATTCTGTCTTTTTTTGTTTTTTTCTGAACACCTTGGTTTGATTTTCTTTGAAGGAACCAAAATGTTTTTTCCGGCTTCCACATAAGAAACTGTTCAGTGAATTTGAGCAAATACCCAATAGGTCGATTGATATTACTGCGGAATTACAGTAGTTGTGTGAGGTTGCTCGTGTGTCGAGTGAGGCTTGTCATGTACCAAAGTCTGACTATTCGCGGATCGCGAACCGCTAGTTCAGCGATCAGATGGAAAACTTTTTGAACCGTACGGGACACTGGTATCGGAATGCGGACTGGAATAATTCTACACTACTTACAAACTTCAAGTAGCTAAACGACTGAGCTGAAGCTTCTTTTCAGTCACTGCCCCTCGTTCATCACTCAGATTCAGGCTATTCCATACTAGGGTAACATGATGAGATATTCGTTTTCCAGTAGAACTTAAGTTTACTTTCACCAAATATCGCACGGTCTTTCGACGTCACTTAGGTACAAACATCTGCCGCCTTCCAATTTTCGATAGGTGCTTCCGGTTGTGGTTGGTTGGTCGAATACGCGAAAAGTACAGACGGACATCATCTGAAAAATAAAGGGGTGTGAAATTTTTCGTTACTGAGGATGTTATTTCTCCCCTTGACTATCTCAAAGAACCACTCATGGAAATTGCTTACAGAAGGCGGAAATCACATGAAAGCCTCTGCACGATTCGTTTGGTCAAGGTTTTGAGATGTCTGCATCAATTTTTTCCAAAAAAATTCTATTGGTGCACTGGAAAATGTTCATCACTTCACGTAGTTTATTGCAGAGGAACCGTTATCTTCTTTTGCAGATGAATCTGCTTTTGCGGGCAGCAAGATCCTGTTATGCGAGAGATAGTAAGTTACAGGTTGCCATTCTTCGCACGACTTTTGATATGACGCTCTAATGAGTGAGACAAACAGTGTAAAATCGTGACCAACTTACGAGATGTCGCCGACCATTGTTCAAATAGAACACTTATTCTCGAGGCTTTCTCTTGATCAGGGAATGCCTCATTTTCTGTTTTTTACACTTTCAGTGAAATGAAATCTATTAACAACAGCAGACTTTTTTAATCTTAGGTATTTGCTGACCTTGAAAATTGACTTAATTGAACAAGTGTGGACACCAAACATGCTATGAAATAGAGAGTGTATGCATTTGGCTTTTGAGAAAGTCCGACCGTTGAAAACTCTGTGGTTTTGAAGAACTTAGTTTCCTACAACGGATGTTGATCTGCCAAGATTTGACCCACTTGTTAAGTTAATCGGACGCTACATAAACTGGTGTTTAAACAATAGCACGAAATTTCAACGACGTAATAAATAGACAGTCAATGAGTGGTTGGGAAGGAGTGAACTTTAAAGACTTGGATATGATCTGTCATCCGTCAGTTCAAAACAGTTGAATCAATCAATGACCCCCGCCATTAGCACGCTTCCGCTTCGCTCTGCCGCTCACTTTCAGCTTCATGCGTGTAGTAATGGTAGTTCTCGTTCTGAGCCTTCCAAGCTGGCGTTCACATCAAAACAATCACCAAAGATGCACAAGGTATATTAACGACCAAAATGAAGTCAAAAACATTGTTCAGCACGTCATATATATAGTGTAAGCGGTGACACCCTGGAAATTCCGACGCTTTCAGGATGCGGCATTGGCAATCGGCCAATACTGGTTCATGATTGGCCGTTAGATCCAGACCTTCGACCAATCAGATTTCGGCTTGATGCCGGACCGGCAAGCGTCCCAAACTTTTGGCTCATCTTGTGCGGGCTAGGCTTCTCGGTCGTAGCAGCGCCGAGCGGTAAAGTGGGATCCGTGCAGAATTCCGCTTAACAATCCGAACTGTTGCTAATAAAATATTTGAAGCCTTTACCGAGTTGCGAGGGAACGACATCAATTCTGCAGGTATTACGGGTGGCGGCTTGCTTCGGGGGAGGATAGTGAAGCACCGCAATAATAGTGTTATATATTTTAGCCAAGTCAATCAAGTCAGAAAAGGCTGATGAGTATTCAGGCACGCCACAGAAGCATGACCGAATGTGATCAGCGTTCAGACAGTTCATAGAAGCACGATCGATGTTGATGGGTGTTCACGAATACGCCTATCAAACAGTCTGGATCAATGTCAGAAAGTCCACTTTAAATAACGCGAGGCCATTCTAACTTTCGCACTCGCTTGTTCGCAATAAAGCTGTTGTGTTCCGTGTTGCTGAGTTCTTTTTCTGGCTCCAGGCACTTGAGTGGAAACAGCAGTCAGATTTAACATGTGGATTAACAAATATCTGTCAACCACTATTTAGGTTCATAGTTAGTCAAACGAGATTGTATTGAATTCAAAGGAACATCACCACTTTCCTTTGGACAAAGATTATCAGAGGCTGTCAACCATCATTTTTGTCTAGTGAAATGGTAAAAAAGCATGTGATGAGGCAAGCGAATGATTTCAAAAACATTGGGGTTAGATTTCAACCTTTATAGTTATCTATGTTGGAGAGGTCGCGTAGGTTAGGTCGAGTTTCGTTTCTAACACGACTTATGGCACGAGGCTTGTAATGTTCTTCTCCTCTGAGGTAGATTGTATCCAAGTCTCAAAGCGAATTCAGTCCGTGGAATGAAACAGTTTACTCGTCGCTTGGAAGAAGTCAGGTTGGGCAAACGGTGGGAAAAAGCTATGCAAAATGCTGGAAGTTGCAGAGTAAACCTGTCTGAAGTCGAGTTGAGGTGGCTAGATGGCCCAAGTGGTTGGAGCGCGAATTTACTGATTGGAAGGTCCGTGGTTCGAACCCAACCTCTGCCTCTTGACTTCCCGTGTCTAGGCTTGGGCAATCTGGCATTATCCCAGCCCTCATGCAATTTTCGAGTGGCAAGGCAGTTAGGTACCGAAAGGGTGCTGCAGCTGAACGATTTTTTCCGAACGAAGTCAAGTCGCCTTCTCCGGCTATCCCCATGAAATGTGCTTGGAGTTCTCGAGAAATACACCCATTTGCAAATCAATTTAGTTTTCACGAGAGACACAGTTGAACCTCTCGTTTATGGTATTCTCGTGAAGACCAAACTGAATTGCAAATGAGGGCATTTCTCGAAAACACTCCAATTTGGATTCTGGTGGAACATAAGGTTAATGGGAACTTGGGGACTGCGCCTACCTGAGGAACCCGACCTGGAAGGGCGAAACTGGTCGCGGACTGTCGAAGAGTTTTCAGCAACCTTGTGAGTAGTTTCCTTCATGTGTTTGAGGTTGCTTGCGAGTGTGAATGCGGCACAGTTACTCTGTTTTTTGGATGAAAAACTCTAATGATAAAGCAGTATTCCGGAAAAGACTGCTCATGTTTGGGCTGGAAGTATTGTAACCTGACACGTTCTGGGCGTCCTTTTGTCTAGATCGGCTTTCCATGGGGTTCTTATTAGAGGTACCGTCTTGAAGGTGTTCTGATGTCCCAAGTTTAAGCCGATTCGGCTTTACGGTCCACAGTGATTCTTTCCTCATAGCCTTTCGACGAGATAGTGATAGGGATTTCCCGCTGGCCGTGGGATGAATACAACTGTTAATTGCACGCATCGCGCGACCAGCCTGTTCAGAATATGGCCGTCGGTTTTACCCGAGCTGGGCGACTTTGTTGAAAACTTTTCATCACCAGTAGGAAGACAGACGTACTGATAACTCACTGGTTGTGTACTGAGTAGTGTTACTTGCGTGTCGATATACTTGCTGCTAACTGGAGCTGACCTTCGATTACTCTTGTTTGCTAGGTTGTTCTGGGTTAAGAACAGTCACCTTTCTGATCAGGTATCACTTGAAGCACATTTCGAGGAAAAAGTATTCTCAGGAGAGATGAAATGTTATTCCCGTTGTTCAATCACGTGAAAAATACTTGGAACCGACTGGGTAGTCATCGTTTTCGAAAAAGTTTGCTGACAGTCGGTAGATTTATTGCTGGGCACAAAAGCTTCGTCAGGTCAAGTCACAAGGTTGTCAATCCACGTAGAATCATTAGAAAAAACCGGGGGTGGGGCACCAAGAACAACTTTCGAGCTGTTTTCGAAAAAGTGTGGTAACAATCGGTAGATTTAGTGCTGGGCAACGTTTCGCTTTTGACGGACGGAAAGTGCAAACGACGTTCAAGAGGGACGATCACGTGAACCGGACCAGAAGAACTAGACCTCATGCTGGACTCAAATCTATGTAGGCTTCCCCATCGACCCAACACTTGGTCACCCACCCTAACACACAAAATCCCTCGGTCGACACCTAACAGAGACTTTGCTTGACTTACCCGACTGGTTCTCCTTCCGCCTTAAATCTCGACCAACCTTTTGTGTCAAAAGCGAAACGTTGCCCAGCAACAAATATACCGACTATCACCAAACTTTTTCGAAAACAATTATTCCCGTTGCTTTTCTCATGCAAGTGTCATATTCTCTTGATGATAGCTTGTCGTCTGCTCTGCACATCTACCGGTCATCACGGGATACAGTTGACCCCCCATGAGGACCTCCCTGAAAGAACGCAAAGAGGGGCATCGTTTATGGGTATTCTTTGAATGGACGAACCAGCTCTCCTACGAGCGAATAAGTTCGCTGAAGCTATGAGTACACCCGTGCTCCCAAGGAGTTCATCAACTTACAGAAAAGTTTTCAAGAGCTGATGTATCTGATATCGACGTTCAAAGGCAAAGAAGGCTGTGGATCAACGATTTTAGTCGATTTCCCACTGAGTTCTTATATGAGAGGTTATCTTAAAGTAACTTTGAACGTGTGGTTAGTCGTTCTCACTTTTCAACAGGACCGTCCACGTTCGCGATCTCAAAATATGTACTATTGCACTATTTGAGCCGGGATGGATAAGTCCCGCACTCACAAGTCATGCTACCTTCCACAAACTCCTCGCGGAGAGTAATGCAGCTAACAAGCGACAGCTGATTTTATTTTGAGCGACTGAAAACCTTGAACTTGAGGATGTTAAATATTGATCGCCGTTGAACTTTACGCGTGGCTGTCCGTGCCATCCTGTGGATACACCGCTGGGAGTGCGGCAGCTTGTTCAAGCGTTGCCAGAAATCGCATGACTTCGATGGACAACTAGAGAAGTTTGAAACTCGACCGTTTCTAACCTGCAGGTTTGTGACCTGAGCTCGGCGACCTGGAGTTCGCGATCACAAGGTGCTAACCGACGTGTGATAGTGACGTTGTAAACAGGTATCATGGTGGGCGTACTTACCGTCAAATATAGGCCACCTTGTGGTTGGGTCCGGCCCCGTTGTCTGAAGCAGGTGCACCGCTGGAGCCTGTCTCCCAGCGAAAACCGTATAGATGTCGTGAATGGCTAATCGAGAGACTGCACCACTTTACAGAATTCGCCCCGTGAACCCTTCCAGTTACAAAAGAATGAAGTTTCAGAACCAGGTAGGTTAGAAAGTACAAGGCCCGCTGTGGGTCCGTTTCATGACAGAAGATCCCTCGGCTGGGGAGAGGAGACCCTCAGATGTTCCACTGGGATTGACTGAGGAATGGAAACGGGTATATGTGACAGATGGTCTGACCTTGATATTAAGCTAATGATCACGTGCGTTTTAGTGGACGGTTACTCACGAAAGACAATCTGATATCTTAGGACCGTGGGGAAAGAAACTTTTAAACAGATGTTCTGTCACCCAAATCTCATGGACCCTACTCAGCAGCGATTCTCTGTCAAGACATGTATATATCCTAGCTTAGCCCGGACCACTACCAGGGGTCGGAGGTAAAAGGAAATTCCACCTAACTGAGAAGATGAATACTGTATCTATTAGGCTTGTAATGGAGAGATCAAGATGATGTAGAACGGCGTGTGATAGACACGATACGCTATGCTTCACTCTCCACATCTGAGAGGCATTGGCGTAACACTGTCGCCAAAATCACTTCACTAGAGGCTGTGTATATCTTCGAATACCATTGTTCGACGGTACGACGTCTCTGTCAACACGGTCTGTAATGCTGATGACGATGATGATGGTCATGATGGTGATGCTGATGATGATGATGATGATGATGATGGCGATGATGATGATGATGACGATGATGATGTTGATGATGACGATGATGCTGATGATGGTGATGATGATGATGAGGATGATGATGAGGAGGAGGAGGAGGGTGAGGATGATTATGGTAATGATGATGATTGTAAGTCGAGGGTGTCCCATGTTAGCGGTCTTCGTACATGGGCTCCCCGATCCCAACCCAAAAAAGAAACTATTGTAAAGAGAGGGGTAGATGGTTTATTAGAGATGATAATCACAGTACAGGTCATCGGAAGTTCCGTCACTGGTGTTAGTTTCATTTCTTCGGATAAGTAGGCAAAATGGACAGAGTTTGCTTATCCATACCTGATTTAAAGACGAAGAGCCATCTTGCATTTGCCGATAAAAGGTGCTCACATCTGTCTGCAACTAGGCTAGAACACTGTAGGGGGAGAAAACCGATGATCTCGCCACGGCGTTGCTTTTGGACACTTAATACTAGCCGATTTATGTCTCTCAGTGAAGCAAGATGGAGCAACCGAGAGATTCTGGATACACACTTTGTTATTTATTGTCAGACAGTGAGTAATCTCGAAAGATGAAGGCAATTGAACCCCTGCGGAGCTACAAGGCCACAGCCTTTTAAGATGAGCTTGTGAGCCATCGAATCACAGAACATCGATGATCAGTTCAGATGGTTTATTAGAGATGATAATCACAGTACAGGTCATCGGAAGTTCCGTCACTGGTGTTCGTTTCATTTCTTCGGATAAGTAGGCAAAATGGACAGAGTTTTGCTTATCCATACCTGATTTAAAGACGAAGAGCCATCTTGCATTTGCCGATAAAAGGTGCTCACATCTGTCTGCAACTAGGCTAGAACACTGTAGGGGGAGAAAACCGATGATCTCGCCACGGCGTTGCTTTTGGACACTTAATACTAGCCGATTTATGTCTCTCAGTGAAGCAAGATGGAGCAACCGAGAGATTCTGGATACACACTTTGTTATTTATTGTCAGACAGTGAGTAATCTCGAAAGATGAAGGCAATTGAACCCCTGCGGAGCTACAAGGCCACAGCCTTTTAAGATGAGCTTGTGAGCCATCGAATCACAGAACATCGATGATCAGTTCATCAAGTAGCTACTTTATGATTCCGTGTATGACAATCAAGTGACCAGAACAGGAACTTCCATGGTAACTTTGCTTCTATCATTGGTTATTTAGGTCGTAACTCACAACCTAGGCAATGACTTGAGAAGCAGTTGGAGAGGTCCAGTAAGAAGAACGCTCAATCAATATTGAGTCACCGTATAATTTAGTACCGGTATAACGGTGATACTACTGATGGAGGAAACATGCGAGTAGTACGTTTTCTCCCAGTATGTTTTCTCGTACATGCGTTTTGCGTCTCCTGAAAAGAGAGATCTATTACGGAATTTGTGGAGTCGCTTTGTAGCATTTGCTTTCAATTGAGCAACAGTCAACGAATATCCAGGAAAGTTCAGGAAGATGCGTTCAAAGAGAAGACGGGTGTTCAGTTTTTTTGTAAATAAGTTGCGAATGAGAGTTTTGCTTCCCTGTCCACTAGTCTGTAAGTGGTCAGTTGACATTTTCTAATAAATAACTCCGCAGTGAAGGCCTTCTTCCTTTCATTTATGTGTTTGTCAAGCTCCCAAAGCAATATTACAAGTAACTTGGACCAACCTATCCATCTATCAAGTTGAGCCAAGTGGAATCAAGTCGAGTCTAGTCAGGTCAGAAAGACCCGGCTTAGGTCACAAGATAGAGTAAGAGCGGTACACAGAACACAACCTATCCATCTATCAAGTTGAGCCAAGTCGACTCAGGTCTAGTCCAGTCAAGTCAGAACGACTCGGCTTAGGTCACATGATAGAGTAAGAGCGATACACAGAACAAAGTTCTTTAGCATTCTACAAGAAGGTCATATCACACTCTTCCACTTAGCTCGATTTTTGAAGGAAAGCATTCCCAAAACTGCTGTACACAACCGGAAAAATACATGTATAAATTCTCCCCCGAATTTTCGTAACGGAAACTACTTAAAAGGTCGCTGAAAACTCTCCGACAGCCCGCGACCGGTTTCACCCTTCTTGGGGCTCATCAGGTAGTCCCCAAGTTTCTGCAGTATTTTCCATGCATACACCCCCACCAGTTGGCCTTGATACAGCCTTATAAGAAGTGCATCTCTCTTTGACCTTTTCATTTTGTCTACCCCTCTTCACACACCAGAACTTATTGAGTATTGGATACCGGTGTGTCAAGCCAAAGCGTAAAGGATGCCCTCTTCACGAATCTTACGCGAAACTGCCTAAAAAGGCGGGGCGTCGTTTGCGGCACCGCGTTGCCACGTCCTCACCTAAGTGCGTGAGTAGCGTGTCAGGGATTGCAAGCATAATATCGATCACTGTATCGTTTCAGATGAGTCATCTGTATGGTCGTTGGATTGCAGATTCTTACTTGAAATGATTATGGTGGTTAGGTCTTGTTTTCTAGCGCACCTGATGTTAGTAACTCAGGTTGCTTATTTTTCCAACGTACATCAAACCTGGGGAATATATACTACTACTCTGGTATGAGTAGCTTCTACAGCTAGGAATAGCAACAACTGAAATATTTACACACAACCGTAATGGCTAGTACACAAAGTTGGAAACTGTCACTGGTACTGGTGCCATTTTTGGACGTCAATAATGCCCATTTTCTGGCTCAGTTTAGGCACAGTTCGTATCCACTCACCTCGCCCTAAATGGCTTATCACGGATCTTAACTAGCTACCAACTTCAATCCTACTCTTATTCAAAGACTCAGAGGTAGCGATACATGCCTCAGACACGGTGGGGTGTATGCATGGAAAATACCACAAAAACTCAGGGACTGCGCCTACCTGATGAGCCCCAAGAAGGGCGAAACCGGTCGTGCGCTGTCGAACAGTTTTCAGCGACCTTTTGAGTAGTAGATCTGAAGAATGTGGAAGTTTTGGTAAGGGGAGTGCGATTCAAACCACAGCGGTTGGTAGCCGAGGCGGTGGAAATTACTAGGCATCACAGCGTGAATAGAATCGAGGGTGTCGATTTGGTGAGCTTATGGAAAGCGGTCTTAGATAAGCCGAGTTGACACGTGACTGCGTGTGGGTGGAAATCCCAGCCCGACCAAAGTTCACAGCATCGGTGTTGAACACTGATGTCATGCTGCCGATGATGATGATGATGATGATGATGATGATGATGATGATGATGATGATGTTGATGATGATCGTAGCACTAGCTGATCCACACAGACCGACGGAAAGTGCAAACGACGTCCAAGAGGGATTATCACGTGAACCGAACCAGCAGAAGAGGTAGACCCAAATTTATGTCGGTTGCCCATCGGCCTAACACTTGGCCAACCACCCTACCACATAAATCCCTCGGCCGACATTTAACAGAGATTTAGCTTGACTTAGATGATTGGTTCTCTTTCCGCCTTAAATCTCGACCAACCCCGTAACCTAGTCACTTGACCTGATGACACTTTTGTGTTAAAAGCGAAACGTTGCCCAAAAATAAATCCACCGATTGTTGCTAAACTTTTGCGAAAACGTATGATATCTGCCCATTCTGGCCGTCTGCAGCCGGTATCATCTTCCCGTCGCATTTGACAGCCGCGCCAGAATCAGTGCCCCTTACCGCCACCTGATTGGTCAATGGTTATCACGGCTTTATTCATCCGCCAATCGGATGTTAGTAGCACGTGGCTGGGTTAGGTCTGTCGTATTCGCTCAGCGAGACGGACAGGGTGATGATGGTTAAACTCCGAAGACTGTACAAATCCGACTCGCTCTAGGAGATGCATCAGCAACAGTTCATATGCCAAAAGATACCAGAATTCTCACGCAGAAATCGACAGCAGGTAACAACAATCAGCTTCTGAATCAGGCTGATATTTCGCTACCTCTCCTGGAGCTACTTGCGACGGTACAAAATAATCACTTAAAAAAATGGAATGAACCGTTATGGATAGAACAGAACGAAAAATAAAGTAAGATGTTCTTCTCAAAGTGAAAAAATCACCCTTAGTGAAATACCAGACTCAGATTCAAGCCAGCCGTTACCGTCTCTGAGGGTGGTCAGAATATGAGGAAAACCCGATGCTTGTTTGCCCCGTTTCGGGTAACATCTCTATCCACAGAGAGTTGGTTCTTTGCCAGTTTGTCGATGACTAACAGTAACCCTTCAGTTTTCTGGAGTTTTCGAACCGGGATGAAGTTAACGGGAGACTCGGCTGAGTCCCCCGATCGGCATACT